GTTTACTTGTTTCATGCTTTATTCTTCTATACTATGTTCGATCGTGTAACTACTTGATTGTTCATGTATTAATGACTTGTTTGAGTCTTTGTTGGCTTTTATGTGTGAGACTAGCTTCTTTATATTGAATTGCCAATCACATCTTGTTCGAGTTCATATTTTCTTAGCGAATTATATGTATCTGTCCTCATTTATGTTATCTTATAAATTGTGGAATACTTGGTTTCTTGTTAGATGCTTCCATATGTATTGGTATGTTGGATCAAGTTGCCGCTGCAACATTATTATAATGTGATCGGGTCGCCACCGCAACATTACTATGATAGAGCCTCAGGTTGCTTGCCGAGATATTATGGCCATGGGATCGGGTTGGCGCCCAAAAATATATGATATGATTAGTTTTTATTATTTTTGTGTTTTTAATTAGTTTTCATTATTCCCCATAGATATGCATCCCTAAATCTAGGATTCCATAGAGGAGAAATAGTGTTTTGGGTAGTAAACTAAGATTTTAAATTTTAGAGATTTAGACCTCGATTTGAGGTCGGTTCTGGAAATAAATCACATATTTGCACTCTAGGATGAATGAGTAATCGATATTTGGTCTTGATTTCAGATTTCAAACAAGTGGGCCCGGATTAAATATTTGTTTACTTTCCCAAATATATTAAAGATCAAATCTTTTTAGTACTAGGAGGGTTCCATAAGATTGTTTGATTTGTTTGAGCATTGTTTGACTAGATTGAGTTGTTTGATGGCTTGTCCTTAAGAAAAAGCGGTTTTGGATTGTTGAATTGTTCCGGAAGAGGTAAGTATCGTGTCTTATCTTGACTTGAGAGAATTGCAATGTAATTGGGTCTATTTTCTACGTGATTTATGTGTTGGGGATATGCAAGGTAACGAGTGTATATACATTGTCATAGGGTGAAGCATGCGGGTAGAACTAGTTTATTTCTTACCTTTATTTATTACATGTCTTTACTTGTTCCATGCCTTTACTTTTCACATGCCTTAACTTGCTACATGCGTTTACTTGTCACATGTCGTAACTTGCTACATGCCTTTACTTGTCACATGCTTTTACTTGTCACATGCTTTTACTTGCTACGTGTATTTACTTGTCACATGCATTTACTTGTTACATGCATTTACTTTTGTCATGCACTTACTTGCTCTGTGTCTTTACTTGTTTCATGCTTTATTCTTCTATACTATGTTGGATCGTGTGACTACTTGATTGTTCATATATTAATGACTTGTTTGAGTCTTTGTTGGGTTTTATGTGTGAGACTAGCTTCTGGATAATGGATTGCTAATCACATCTTGTTCGTGTTCATATTTCCTTAATGACTACTTGTTGGGTTCGTGTTCTTTATGTGTTCATATTAGCTTCTGGATAATTGTGCCATACTTGGTTGCTTGTTAGATGCTTCCATATGTATTAGTATGTTGGATCCAGTTGCTGCGGCAACATTATTATAATGGAGCCTCAGGTTTCTTGCCGAGATATTATGGCCATGGGATCAGGTTGCCACCTCAACAATTGTTGTATTTGAATCGGGTTGGCACCCAAAAATATATATTATGATTAGTTTTCATTATTTTTGTATTTTTGATTAGTTTTCGTTATTCCCCATAGATTTGCATCCCAAAATCTAGGATTCCATAGAGTAGAAATAGGGTTATGGGTAGTAACCTAAGATTTTAAATTTTGGAGATTTAGACCTCGATTTGCGGTTGGTTCTCGAAACAAATAACTTATTTGCACTTGAGGATGAATGGGTACTCGAGATTCAGTCTTGATTTCGGATTTCAACCAAGTGGGACCGGATTAAATTTTTGTTGAATTTTCCAAATATATTAAAAATCAAATCTATTTAGTATTAGGAGGGCTCCTTAAGATTGCTTTGACTTGTTTTAGCATTATTTGACTAGATTGAGTTGTTTGGAGGCTTGTCCTTGAGAAAAAGCAGTTTTGGATTGTTGAATTGTTCGGGAAGAGGTAAGTATCGTGGTTAACCTTGACTTGAGGAAATTGCGATGTAATTGGGTCTATTTTCTACGTGATTTATGTGTTGGGGATATCCAAGGTGATGAGTGTATATACGTTGTCATGAGGTAAAGTATGCGAGTAGAACTAGTTTATTTCTTACCTTTATTTATTACATGTCTTTACTTGTTCCATGCCTTTACTTGTCACATGCCCTAACTCTCAACATGCCTTTACTTGTCACATGTTGTAACTTGCTATATGCCTTTGCTTGTCACATGCCTTTACTTCCTACATGTCTTTACTTGACACATGCACTTACTTGTTACATGCTTTTACTTGTGTCGTGCCTTTACTTGCTCTGTGTCTTTACTTGTTTCGTGCTTTATTCTTCTATACTATGTTGGATCATGTGACTACTTGATTGTTCATGTATTAATGACTTGTTGGAGTCTTTGTTGGGTTTTATGTATTAGATTAACTTTTGGATATTGGATCTCCTATCACATCTTGTTCGTGTTCATATTTCCTTAGTGAATTATACGTATCCGTCCTCTTTTATGTTATCTCATGAATTGTGCCATACTTGGTTTCTTGTTAGATGCTTCCATATGTGTTGGTATGTTGGATCAAGTTGCCATGGAAACATTATTATGATGGGATCGGGTCGCCGCCGCAACATTATTATGATAGAGCCTCAGGTTGCTTACCGAGATATTATGGCCATGGGATCGGGTTGTTGCCTCAACAATATTTGTGTTTGGATCGGGTATGTTATGTATTTTGGTGTTGACTTGTTATATTTGCCTCCTTTATGGTTTGGCTATGTTATTTCAGGATATTGTTTTATTTCAATTGATTTGAGCTGCTGAGAAAGGTTTTGGTTGTTTATTTCTATAAACGTGGTTATTACATCTCTTATTAAATACTTTTATTATTATTCGCCTTTAATCTTGTTATTATTAGTGTTATTTCTCCTCCTATCTCTGTTGCTTATTGCTTGTACAGGTTTATACGGTATGTGTATTGTCATAGCCTCGTCACTACCTCGTCGAGGTTAAGCTCGATGCTTACTGAGTACATTGGGTTAGTTGTACTCATACTATACTTCTGTACTTCTTGTGAAGATTCTGGTGCAGGGCCTAACAACGTTGAGAGAGGAGCATAGCTTGGATTTCAGGGAGAGTCAAGGTAGTGTTGCATACCTATTAGCAGACTATGAGTTACCTTCACTTTCATCATTATTGTTTCTTGTATCAGATAGTATTACATTTATTTCCAGACTTTGTATTCAACACTCTTAATAGCTCATGTACTCAGTGACACCAGTCTTGGGAGGGTATTAGACGGTTGTATTGGTACTAACTAGTTATAAAATTTCCGACCTTACTCTAATTTATGATATTATGTAGTTACATGCTGGTTTTTGTGTCTCTTATTATTGTTTAGTGTTGGCTTACCTAGAAAGCGATGTTAGGTGTCATCACGACCCCTTGATTGGGATTTAGGGTCGTTACATACGTACAAGTCCAAAATCACCATACTAACCTATTGAAACCTTCAAAACACCAATCTAGGGTCATTTACCTGTAATGTTGACTTTGGTCAACTTTTCCAAACTTAAGCCTCAACTTAAGAACTGCCTCGTTATGCCATGTTTTGACGACCAATTTTGACCCTCCTTTTTAAAATTAAATTATTTATACTTATTATTCAGCAATAAATGTAGTAAAGTATATTTTAAATTATTTATACCTATTTTTTCAAAATATAAATGGTATAATAATATAATAGTCGTTAGTAATATTAATTTGTAATTAAGAGTAATTTAGTTTTAATTATTTATAAATTATATAGTTCCTACTTAATTAATTAAAATAACTTTTATATTTTATTAAACAAATATTATCAATTGGCCAAAAATTAGTTTTTACAATTCAATAGATGAAATATTATAATTAATTTTGATAACCAATTAATTACAGTAATTAATTAATAATATATTTGATGATTATATCTTATTACATTTAATTAGGGTTAATTAAGTGTAATTAGTTTAATTATGAAAGGGGTTAAAAACTCAAAAAGGTTGTAATTGTAATTGTCTTATTAAATTCAATGTGGCTACAAAATTAAATCTCATTTTAGCTCATTTGGCCCAAAATATAGTCCCAATACATTCTGACCTGGTCTGAAACCCCCACCTCCATGCAAGTTGGCAATCCATGCCATCCTTTCTAAGCCAATCAAAAAGCTCCACATCACTGCTCTTCAACACTCACACAAGAAACACAAAATGATATGGACCGTTGATCCAATTTATCAACGGTCCACAATTAATACTCACTTTCCTCTTACTTATAAATATTATCCTGGTTCTTATTTCAGCCGTTAGATCAAAGTGATCCAACGGCCATCGTTTTTCCCCAATAAATCATTTTATCAGCTTTTATTTTTCAAAAATTCAGAGCCGTTGATCAAAACATCCAACGTCTCACATTGCATCTCTCACTTTTAACCTTAGAGACACTGTGAGCACTTAATGTTTGCCCCACATAGAAATTTACTCTAAAAAATAGTCCAAAATAATTTTAATTGTTGTTATAGAATTTTAGGAGTTTTCTTTTATTTGTTTTGCATTTATTCGCATTGTTTATGCATGTTAGGAATATCGTAAATCATAAAAATCATAAAAAAATATTCAAATCTTAATTTCATAGCATTTTAGATTTTAAATTGCATTTTAAGGATTTAGTTACACATCTAGTGCATAATTAATACATAAAAATCAAAAAAAATACACAGTAATCACTCTTGCCTTGTTTTTGCATTTTTTAGATTCGATTAGTTAAATAGGTCAATTTTGCAAAATCAATTTAAAATTGGGTGATTTAATCAATGGTTAATTTTGAAATAAAACGAAAAAAGAAAACAAGGTTGTTTGGCTCTATAATTGAATTGGTCCGCCCTAAGCCTAATTACCCGTTCAGTTTCGCCCCTTTACCCCAGCCCACTCTCACAATCCGACCTAGCTCCCTCTTTAAACCAAAATGACCCCGTTTTGTCACTTCTAATCTTCACCCTCCGTCTCCTTTGATCCAAGGGCCAGAAACTCCTCGTCCAATTCCGTAAAATGGTTTGAACCGGCCCCCCAAACCCTAGAGACATTTCCATTCTTCATCTTCCTCACACCCTCTCAAACCCTAGCCGCCTCTCACCACCAAAACCCACCTCCACCGGCGGCTCACCACCAAATCACTCCAAATCTTCACCCTACAACCCCCAGCTTTCCCCCATCACTAATCTCCCACTAGTTTCCCCAAAATCCTCACCAAGGCCGACGAATCTCAAATCTAAAATTACCAAAAACTTTATTCCTCTCCTTTCCTGATTTCTTTTGGTTTTTAATCCGTTTTAGATCAAAAATTGCACCAATCAACCCCATTCACTGAGTACCATAGATTGTGGGTGTTTCTACCTCGTCTCATAGCCATTCAAGCTCGGTCAAATTCTTGTTGACCACCCAAAACCTTAGTATTTGTCCACCAGCCTTCTTTCTCATGTTCAAGACTTCAATTCTTCAAGATTTTTGGCTTATGAAGTGTCTATCAGATTTAGTTTAACGCAATGCTCATAGGTCTAAAGTCTCCGATGTTTTGAAGACTTAAACACATGGAGCTTCGTTCTTCTATTCTTGCTTTTGATCTCATTAGGTAATCTCTTCTTTTCATTCTTCGTTTTCTCTTTGTTTTTGGTTGATTAGAATTTAATTAGGTTTAACTTTATTTTTTTCCTTTTCTTCAATTTTATCACTGCCAAGTTCAAGTCGAATTATTTCAGTCACAAAATCTTGTTTGATGCTCAACTACATGTTTAGGATAGTCATGTTTTCATTGTTGTCTTTTAAATTCAAGTCTTGATTTAGTAATATTTTGTGTTGATATGTTTGTTTTGCCATGTGTTCCATCGATTATATTTAGTAGGATTAATTAAGGCATGTCACATTTGTTCTAGCATAAATTTAGGTCAGTTAATTGGTAATTTGATTTATTTAAGGGTCAAGGAAATGAGAAAGTCCGGGCTGCTAAAGCTAAGTCCTGTCAATGGGCCACGGGCAGGCCCAGAATTCTCTAAGAGTAAGAAGTAGGTTTGATTTATAAATAACAAGAGATCTAAGGGGCTAAAGAAAATAGGATCTTAAGGGAATCTAGTCTGTAACTGCCTCAGAAGATTCTATAAATAGGGGAGGACTTTTTAGCAATAAAAAGGTAAAAATTAGGTTAAAAAGGACAGGTCGGGTGAGGATGTAATAAAACAGAAAATAGGAAGGGTGAAAAATAGAGAGGAATCATTGAATGGGACAGCTGCCCATAATTTGTTAGAAACAAAATGCTTTTTCCCATTTTTTCAGCTGACACATTCTCTTTATATATCCTCTCATTCTCTGCATATCAAGGACACTTTTTATTTTTGTATTTTTCAGAGAATTCACACTCATCTTCACTGATGTTTCACTGGACAGACTGATTCTTTGAAAATTCCCTCATCCTCACTCATTTTTCTCACAAAAATCCTCTGAAAGTCAAAATCAGATTTAGAAAAAAAAACAAAGAAAAAGGGATTTCGAACTCATCAACATTGTTTTAGTAGCTTCTAGGTTCTCTTTGGATTTTGGGAGTGGGTTTTGAAGTTGTTTTGTGTTGTTTCTACTGATGCGTTTGTTCTTGCTGCCACTTCCTTCCAACTTCAGAGATTTATTATTCTTTGTTTGGCCCTGCTTGAATAGGTCAATTTGAAAACTCATGTGCTCATATTCCTATCTGAATGAAATTTCTAATTTCTGCTTTGGTTTATTGGATATTTGTGTAGTATGGGAATATAAGTTAATTTATATTCCTATTTGATATGTCACTCCAAACAACGTGTATGAAAGTAGACCGTTAAAGCATGTATTGACTCTGTTAATTTCTGACTGTTTTAGCATGAAGTTCGATTCAAATATATTCCTAATATGTTGCTAAGTAGTATTTAATAGCAAAGTCATGATGTGGAAGGCTCCTATTGCGACAACTATGGCTGTAGTTCATTGATCTGGCCATTAATTGGTCAATATCTGCAAACCTCAAAGCCAAAACGGATTATCGGAGGAGTTCAGAGCCATTGTAGATTGTTTAGCATAGAAGTATAAATATCTCATTGTGGTTTGTACTATTAATTTGGAATGAGATGTATTGTATAGTTTGATCAAAGCAGACATGGCAGTAATGTCAAAATTTATATGTGTTAAGACTTGAATGTTTGCTTAAAGGCAATAATGTTTCTTGAGATCAGTTTCTATTTTTGTTGTATGTAAAGGTTTGAAATCAGTATTAAGTTTGTTAAAATCAGAGTAGTATCCATTTCCAAAATTGTTAGTTACAATTGAAATTGAAATTATGGTTTTACTCTAATAAGGCTTGATATGGGCCTGGAATTCCGTAGATTTGGGAACTCAGATGCCGTCCATGATGCAAAGATGGGCTTTTTGCTTGAGCCCATTTGCTTATCTTATTTGATTAATCCATGTTGATAAGATAATAATGTATTAAGTTGTTGTTAGATGCCTTTTAAAATGCGTTGGCTAATTTCCCTTATTCACTACCTAAATCCTTTTTCTTAAAGTTAAGTAGCTTTTAAACATTACCAATATGCTAATAAGCCCAGACTTTAACGGATTACCCAGTAGCCTTACATATAAAGATGAGGTGATTGACGACCCCATTCTAGCTTAAATAAGTAAACCCTAGTGATTTATTCCATACTATTTTGAACTATCTGCATCATCTCAAACATTAGAAACTAAAAACAACTCAGGAATCGTAGAAATGCTTTAGGCGCGCATTTAATCTACTATCGTGATTGTGTACACGTTCGTGTGACATGATTATGATTCCCAAAAATAAATCAAGGTACGCGTTCGCCTGAATATCCAGTTATTTCTTCTAAAGTGGGAGTAAGCTCAAAATCCGAGAAGCGGAAGACGTTGTGAATGGGATCCCAAAAGGTCACTAGTGCCTCAATCAAATCGTCTCGTGGTTTAACTTTCATAATATCTGTAAGGGCGCCCAAGTGCTTTGTGACCCCATCCTGACCATCTTTCCCTAAGTCGTACCACCACATCTGAAGTTGTAGTGGAGCTTGATCTACAACCGTTAATGGCGGGTTCTATACAGTGCTCATTTTGTACTTGTGGATGGTTAGGGTTAGGGTTGACACTAGTTCCAAAATACAAACCAATGGACTCTTTTTGCAAATCAACCTTTAATTTTCTAAGGAAAAACCAAATGGGGGTGGCTATTTATGCAATATTAGCCCAAAGCAAGGATGGCTATTTTTGCAATAATGGCCTTTCAAGGAAAGTTTTGAGGTCGGGGAAGGGCACTTATGGCAAAAGTAATGCCCAATTGACAGACACTTCCGTTGTTGCGAGAATAGCCCTTCGATAATTTTGGAGATGTTCTAAGGCTATTCCGATAGAAACGGCTCGGGATGAAACCGAAGCTGGGTCGGCTTACTCATTTGACCAAAACACTGGATACATTTTATTATTTTTGGTTATTTTTGCAAAAATAAGGCCGAACCTTATGGAGGTTGCCTACGTATCTCACATCCGGTGAGAATCAGACCTGCGTAGTTCGGTCAGTTTTGACACAACAAGGAAAACATGATTTGGAAGATATTGCCTCATTTTGAAATGACTTTTATTTTTATTTTTCCTTTTTTTTCAAAATTTCGACTGAGTTTCAGGATTTTTCAAATAACTGGGATTTTCAGAACCGGGTGAATTTTCTCTTTCCTACCTCACTCTTGGTTTTTTCTTGATTTTATTTCCCTATTCTAGAAGCCGATCAACATGTAAGCCGAAACACACAAATGAAAAAATAGCATGTAGGATGCACCAGGATGATCTTTTATTTTGGGTACACCTGTCCTAGATGGACTCAATCCCTCTTTTGAGTCCCCAAAGTCAAATGCACGTGATGCAAACAAATGACATGAGGCTATGTTATTCTAGGTTAAAATTCTAGGGTATGTTTTAGGCCTGGGTTACCCGAGCGGACAGTTCGAGCCGAGGTGGGGGCAATGTACCGGGAGCACGAAAGTCTACCCGACCTAGTTGCTGATCCATCCTCGTTCTATTTGGTATGATATCTAACAAAAAAGTGGACCACGCGTACGTGTGCACCATAAATTTAGAAGACTCAGAAGGGGGACGTAAGGAGACAGTTTATACAGTTCAAATAATATCAAAGCGGTAAAATGAGCGGAAATTAGCACATTAGGCCCACAAACACAGTAACATCAACAATCAAGAAAGTCAAGTATAGATCACATCACAAGCTCGAATTCTGAACCCTGAACCAGAGATTCTGGGTTCGTTCCCCAGCAGAGTCGCCAGAGCTGTCACACCTCATTTTTTCGAAGAATAAGGAGTTTTTCCAATTAAAGTGACATTATTCGAAATGTGATTATTTATTTAATTAGAGTCGCCAGTTGGAATAATTATTATGGTGTCCCAAGTCACCGGTTTATTTTAAAATCCTAAATCGAGGAAATTGACTCTGTTTAAGTCTGCGAAAACCAGAAGATCGAGTAAGAAATTCTGTTAACCCGGGAGAAAGTGTGAGGCACTCCCGAATTTTATGGTTTTAGTACGATCACTTTAATCATACCTGGATTAAGTAATTATTTAATTACGCATTTGAAAACCTATGGCATTTTACCTTTTACCGTTTTTAATTATGGTGTTATAGATTTATCTATGAAACGGATCACATGTGTGTAAATCTGTTTTATTCAGTGTGCTAAAATCATGTCACGCATATGTATACACAATTAATAACACTTTATTATTATTAAGATTGTTTGGCTAAAGTCACAATCACACACTTGCTCCGATTATACTATCAGACATTTATGGGGCATTGACGTTGTGTAAATCCAGGGCAAAATTCTTCGAAGGATGCAATATTTTATTGCAGATGTGGTTGATCGAGCTTCTCTATCATCACCCCAAATTCATGAGTTATGGCCCAAGCAAGAACAACTTCATCGAGAGTTATGAGGAAAGAGTAAAAGATTATAATTCTCCAGAAGGGGTGGAAGCATGGATATCCCATCTAAGATCTTTAAACGCGAGTCAAATTGAGTGGACTTTGGGATGGCTCCCGGTAAGGGAAGTGATACACATGTCAGCTTTGAAAAGCTATCTGTTGCTAATGGGTTTGAGAAATGTCTAACTGTATGCACCGCAAAGAGTTCTAAGACAGCTGGGAAGGTACCAAGTGGTTCCCGAGGATGAAGATTTGAGTGTCCAAGTCATTGAGCTACACCTATAAGCTCCACTCCCCGAGAATTTAATCCAACAAGTTTGGAATGGCAGCCGGTACTTGAAATATGATACCCAAGTGCCAGATCCCGCGAGAGGTTAGGTAGATCGAGGTTATGCTATGTGGTTCGAGAAAAGGTCTCGCATTGATGATGAGCCAGAACCCGAGCCCGAGCCCGAAAGGTCATGTTCAGGCTTTTAATGATAAAATTCAAGAACGGTTGGCCTGGGGAGAAAAGGAAAAGGGATACCAAGTAACCATTCATGCCTTAGAAGAAAAGCTGAGAAACCTCAAATTTGAGAATGACTTACAGGCGTAAGAGGCTGAAGGTGAAAAGAAAAGTCTGACCCGTGAGAATGAGGCACTCCGAGCCCAACTACGGGAAATGAGAATAGATGTTGAAACACCTGTAAGGAGTGAGAGGGATGAAAATATCATGAGCAACTTGAGATGAAAAGTGCATGACTATGTGGCCGACCTGACAAAGGCCGAGAATTCGTGAGGTATGTGTTTTTTACTTGAATTTGTTATTATTTCATGATTCCAACCTCGATTTTAGTGTTTGATTGATAAATCTAGTTGTAGAAATTGGGGATTTTAGTAACAACTCTTTTTAGAACATAAATGATGATGTGAGGGTTGATTTGAGGTCGAAATTTAACAAAATTGGTATGGTCGGACTCGTATCGAAATGGGTGTTCGGAATTTTTGAGTTTTATCAAGTTCTGAGGTGTGGGCCTACGGTTGACTTTTGAGTTGACTTTTTGATTTTACTTAAAGATCGAATCTTTATTATTTGGAATCATTTCCTATGGCTTTTATTTAAGATATTAAGTTATTTTGTCTAGACTCGAGCCGTCCGGAGGTGGATTTGCGTGGGAAGGGCTTATTAGAGGATTAATTTAACCTGTTTGAGGTAAGTATCATACCTAACTTTGTGTCGAAAAATCTTCCCCATAGGATTTGGTTTAATTGCATTATTTGAATTATGTGAAAGACGTGTATACAAGGTGACGAGTGTGTGTACGGGCTTATGTGTCGTAATTGACCGGATTAGCCTCTTAGGCTATTAATGTGCCTTGAATTGAAGTTGTTGTTATATGAAGCACATCTCCTTGTTGAGTTACTTTCTGTACGTTTATATTGTTATTGTAATTCTTGTACATATTGTTGTTGCATCGTGGGCTATATGTTGTTGTGATATTAGCATTGTTATTTTTGAAATGTTGTGGTGTGAGTTGGTTATTGTGTTGTGACGAGATACGCATGCGGTGGTATAAGGGTAGTGTTATTGATGCACCTGAAGCGAGATAAGGGGGTTTTATGCGCATGTTGCTAGTAAGGGGAAATACTTCATTTGAAGCATACAGAGCGAGTTAAGGGGGCTAAAGCGCATGAAGCTATTTCGGAAAAAATATTTTTAAAATAAATGTAAGGCACACGACGTCATAAAGAAGATTCATTATTTGTGACTTGTGAATTGTGATGATGAGGTGTGGTACCTCGGGGTGATTCTTATTGTAAATTATGTGTTGGGACGGCTTTATGATTTGAACTGTTATTGTTTCCCTTAATTTATTTCACTTGTATTTTAACTGTGTTTTGATTATTTTGTTGTTTATCACATGTTTACTCTTGTTGCCATTTATTGCTTTTACTTTCCGTTGTTAGCTTTATATTAATATTCTGCACATGTTTTCAAGTCTAGTGAGTGTCTTGACTTGTACCTCGTCACTACTGAACCGAGGTTAGTCTTGATACTTACTGGGTACCATTGTCGTGTACTCATACTACACTTCTGTATTTTCTGTGCAGATCCAGGTACCTCGGAGTGTGTCGGAAGTTAGCTAGTTACTTTCGAGCTGCTGAGGAGACTTCAAGGTATACTTGCCATCTCGCCCGCAGGCCTCAGAGTCCCCTTCTGAAATTACCATTACTACTATTTATTTTCATTCC